TTTTCTGGATTAAGTAAGAGAAAGTTGCTTAGCATCCAGTCTCTTATGTCTGTCGCACACGCCTCCACTTTCTTTAACTGACTTACCTCGTCTGACCTGGCTGAGACATATAACTGTGTGTCATCAGCGTAACAGTGGAAACTAATATTATGCTTACGTATTATGTTTCCTAATGGGAGCATGTATAACGAGAAAAACATACACATACAGCAGCCACGCTAATTCCTTTCTACTTGTTTCCCTTCTTCTACCCATCCCGAGGCACATAGAGATTGTGCCAGCTCAAGTAGACAGAGGCCATCCCTACGAGGATCCTGAGGCATCCAGAGATGGACCAGCTCCAGCCAGTTTCTGCCTTGTGAGGATTTGGGCATTTAAAGCAACGCTGCCAACCCTATGTGGACTTTGAGGAAGATAACAACCTACAAATCAATATACACATAAAACGCTACATGACTATACATAAATGCAGAAAGGACATTGTTCTATCACACTCTCCAGTGTCACCCAAATGAGGATGGGTTCCCTTTTGAGTCTGGTTCCTCTCAAGGTTTCTTCCTCATATCATTTAAAGCAGTTTTTCTTTGCCACAGTCGCCTCAGTTGCCTCAGGCTTGCTCACTAGGGATAATTTTGTCTAACATCTAGGACTGTTGCATGTTTTGTTTGTTTGCATGTTTTTCCGTTTCTTATGTTCTGTATAGCTGCTTTGAGACAATGTCCATTGTTAAAAGCGCTATATAATTTTTTTTTTAAAAATTAAAAAATCTTATATATAGTTGATCTACAAGTGGTTTACCAACTATAAATGTTAGAAAGCAATATGTGAGATTTTGGGATATTTTATTCAATGTAAATACCCTTTTATCTTTTATCATATTTGCTGAACCTTTTGAGTACAAAACTAGTCAAGTCCTTATGCATATGTGTGTTTTACAATTACTTAGAACAGAAAATGCTGATGTCAGTAAAATCTTTGATTTTATATTTGATTGAATATTTAATGCATAAAAAATAGAAACCGTACTCACATCATAAGATTTCTGAGATTTCTTAATCTATGCCTGCATTTGATCATTATTGTTCTGATACTTCAAAATGAATCAACGATAGATGAAGAATATATGTTATATAATGAAGAATTGATGAAGAATATATATTATCAGACCCAGGGTCACATGGTAGTGTTGAGAGTTTGCGAAGAGCTATTGTTGAGAAAATGGGGAAAAGATTTAATAATTCTGAAATTTAAAAAACTGGTTAGCTGAGCCGGGTGTGTATAGTCTACATAATCAGTATATGTAAAGGTTAAAAGAAACACGTTTTTTTTTGTAAAGAACATTGATGTACAATGGCAAGCTGATTTAGGTGAAATGAGCAACTTGTCAGAGAGTAATGACAACACAAAATTTATGTTAATGTGTATAGATAATTTATCCAAATATGCCTGGGTATGTGTGATAGAAAACAAGACCAGAACTGAGGCAACTAAAGCTTTTGATTCCTTTCTAAAGGAAAGTAGGGTCCAAAAAAACTACAAACTGGCCAAAGGAAGGAGATTTTGGGCAAAGATTTTCAAACTTTAATGATAAAGCATAACATTGTTCGCTTTGCTACAGGTAAGGGGGAAAAACCAGCTGTGTGTGAAACTTTCAGGATGTGGAGACCAGGACCAGGATGTGGAGATCTTTTACAGCTTTCAACACGAGAAATACAGTGACTTCGTACAGGTTTTGGTTCAAGCATACAATCACAATTACCCATTCCAGCATCAAAATGAAGCCTGTCAAGGTCAACGAATCCAATTCCTTCAGAATATTTAATACCCTCTATGGATAATTTTAATCAAAAATAAAGAAACAAAAATTCAAGTTATTCCTGGATTCCAGCTGAACACGTAGTTAACATAACATTAGAGCTTAAAAAGAATCGTTGTGAACATAACTGAAATCTATAATCATTAAACCATGGAACAGTGTGGTTTCTTTGTGACCCTTCCAAGCAATGCATTGATGGACATTTATCCTAATAATAAGATTGCACACTATTCAACTAAATTTGGGAGGTGTTCAATCAGAGGTACAATATATCCAGAGTTGGTACTTATAGACAGTCAGAGCATGAGACATGTTTCTCTGAGGGTTGGAAATAAAGTACAAACCAATTATTTTCATATCTCTCACGTGTCGCGTGTTACAAAAGTATCGGAGAACTGTTTAGTGAAATCAACAAAACAATGAAAAAAATGGATATCGAAATGGAGATCAACTATAAACCTATAAAAAATAAAATACGCATCGTGTCCCAAAAAACCTATACATTCAAAGCTAATTGAAACATAGCATATAGGCTCAGTATGAATCCCATTGGTCTGTTAACGTACAAGGAATCAGAAGCGCCTAATTCTGCTGATATTCATGCAGGCTTTTACAAAATGTATGTATATACAGGCATTACTGAGAATCGACAAGGGTCTCTGGAGGACTAGTGGTTAGGGCACAGCATTCTCACCACCGTGGCCCGGGTTTGATTTCCGGCCAGGGAACCAACCTCAGCAACTGGGTTGTGCACAACATTGCTCTCTCAGTGCCATTGCCAAGCCTGGATAAAATTGGGGATGGTTACGTCTGGCATCCGGCTAAAATCTGTGCCATATCAAATAAGTGGACCAATGATCTGCTGTGGCAACACCTAAGAGGAGCAACTGAAAGAGGAAAAACAACACTGAGTATCACTGAGTTGGTGACAGCTTTGACTGATATCAACATTTCCTGTCTAAGCAATTGTAAAACACACATATCGGTTACACAGTTTAAGATGCATAATATATGATTAGTTTTGCATTCTAGTTTAAGCAAACAAGAAAGAAAACATTTTTTGCACATAAGTGTGCAAAGGATACACGTTATTTACATTGAACAAAGAATCTCAATTTTTAGTAAAATCTTGTACCTTGTTCGTAAACATTTCAAGCCGATGAAAAGCGTCAATATCAACAGGAAGATGATTAGCAAAATACTTTGGTTCAAAAATTTCTTTGGAATGCAGAGGTGAACTCTGTATTCAGGCTTTTCTCGCAGTCAGAATAGATGTGGCATATTTCGAAGTTTCCTATGTATGTGGCTGGTCAGGGGCTTCCAGAGAGGAGTGAAAGTCCAATAGTCCACAAAATCTTCATACACCTGGTATATACAAATTTCTTTTGGTTTCTCTTTGACCTCGTTCAGAACAGTTTTGAAGAGAGGCTCATCTCGCCAGTTGCAGAAGGCGGCTTCGGCGAAACCTTGAATTTTTTTTCCAGGGATGGAGTGTGTTTGATACTGCACAACTTCAGACCTCTAGCCAACTTGTATTTCGACCATGGTTTAAACAGCCTTTTCACCGATGTGTAGGCATTCATCTGCAGATAGCACATGTCAGGTTCAATCAGTGTTTTTGCCAACTTCAAAACCCAAACTGGTCACATCATTATCCAAGATAGCGACCGACTTGTAAAAATTGTGTCTGAATTCATGAGCCATACTGTTTGCTGATGCTCAGAAGGTTTTTAACTAAATATGTAGGAAGACTCATTTATATATCACATGAGAGGAGCCTTGCAAGAAGGTGGGGTTTCTGCTCAGCATTGAAAGAATAATAAAATTTGCCAATACCCAATACTGAATCTTTTCATGCCCTAAAACTTTTTCAGATCTTTCCAAAGTAGATTTAACCTTTTTAATTCTGGACAGCTGCATCTGGACAAGCGGTCATAATTGAACACTCAAAGAATCAACGTTATTCTACATGTATCTATCTCTCTCTCTCTCTCTCTCTCTCTCTCTTTCTGTGAGTGTGTTTGTGTTGCTCAATTTCATTAACTTTGAAATTTTTGCAGGAGAGAGAGGGTGTCTGGGTGTCGATATCAAATCATCAAACGGAAATCATATACATATATGCTTTTAACATCCGAGGTTGAGAACTGAACTGTAAAAATCAATTAGACTGATAATTTATATATATATATATATATATGTATAGTTTATAAGCATATTTGATTAGTAATTTTTTTATATTTCATTAATAAATTCATATTCGCGATAATTTTTTAAAATATACATCTGAAAAATTAGATTTTTAAATCACCTCATGTACCTGCATATTTGCGTTTGTCAGAAAAAACAGTTTCCCAAGCTCTTTTCGCTGTGAAACTGCCTAAATAGCGATTTACGTCTTTAGTGTTAATAAATTTTGGTGAATCATACATGATGAATAATGACTTTTCTAACATTAATTTTCGTAATTTTGACTTTTTTGTAGTTTAATAATATATTATGCATTTTAATAACAACAATCATATTAAGTATCATTTTTTATTATATACATGTGAAAATGTGATTTGTATGCTCATCATGCACGTGCACAGTTGTGTTTGTTGGAAAAACTACTTTCCCAAGCTCCTATCGCCGTGAAACTGCCTAAAAGCCTTTTCATCAAAAGCGGACAACTCTGTTAGGACACTCGGCTTTATTATTAATTCATTTTGTTGAATCATATTTGATGAGTAATGACTTTTCAAAAATGAATTTTGATTTTCTAAAATTTTATTAATTAACTATGTATTTATTATAAACAATAATAGTAAGTATCATTTTTAATATATATATATGTGTGAAAAATGTGATTTGCCAGCACATCATACAATATCCTGGATTTCCTGACTGGGAGACCTCGGTCAGTCCGGATCGGAAACAGCATCTCCAGCATCACCACACTGAGCACTGGAGCCCCTCAGGGCTGCATACTTAGCCCGCTGCTGTTCACTCTGCTGACTCATGACTGCGCAGCAATGCACAGCACAAACCGCATCATAAAGTTCGCCGATGACACGACCGTGGTGGGTCTCATCAGCAAGAACGACGAGTCAGCATATAGAGAGGAGGTGAAACATCTATCAGCCTGGTGTAAAGCCAACAACCTATCTCTGAACGTGGACAAAACTAAAGAGATGGCTGTTGACTTTAGGAGAGCACAGAGCGACCACTCTCCATTGAACATCGATGGATCCTCCGTGGAGATCGTGACGAACATCAAATTCCTTGGTGTTCATCTGACGGAGAACCTCAACTGGTCACTCAACACCAGCTCCATCAGCAAGAAAGCCCAGCAGCGTCTCTACTTCCTAAAAAGGCTGAAGAAAGCCCATCTGCCACCCCCCATCCTGACCATGTTCTACAGAGGGACCATCGAGAGCATCCTGAGCAGCTGCATCACTGCCTGGTTTGGGAATTGCACCATCTCGGATCGCAAGACCCTACAGCGGATAGTGAGGACAGCTGAGAAGATCATCGGATTCTCTCTCCCCTCTGTCACGGACATTTACACCACACACTGCATCCGAAAGGCCAACATCATTGTGGACGACCCCACACACCCCTCACACACACTCTTCACACTACTGCCATCAGGGAAGAGGTTCCGAAGCATTCGGGCTCTCACAACCAGACTGTGCAATAGTCTTTTCCCTCAAGCCATCAGCCTTCTCAACACACACAACTGAACTGGAACTAAACTCACACACAAACACGCACACTCACACTCACTCATCTTCATACATTCATTAAGTTATTACAAACAAGTTGGCTTGTTCTACTGTTTACATTGTACATTCCACCACTGCTACTGCTGCTCTGCTCGGTTCTTTTTGCACATCAATGGCACTGTCACTTTAGTTCTTGTAAATTTGCACATTGCACTGTATATAGATATATATACAGTAGGTTACGGGTTGCTGCTATTTTGTGTTTGTGTACTTGTCCTGTACAGTACTTGTCCTGCACTGTCTCGTGTTGTCTGTTCTGCACTGTTTTGTTTTGCACTGTTTGCACTAGGTTGCACACGATGCACTTTATGTGGCTAGGACAACTTAGTCTAGTCCTCAGCTCTGTGTTTTCTAACTCTGTGTTGTGTGAGGTGACTATGTTGTTCTATGTGGTGCCAAGGTTCTGGGGAAACGTTGTCTCATTTCACTGTGTACTGCGTCAGCTATATATGGTTGAAATGACAATAAAAGCCTCTTGACTTGACTTGACTTGATTTCCCAAGCTCCTATCTGTCAGGACAAAAACAGAAGGCAGATTCAAGTACGAGTTCGTGATATTTTAATGAGGTTGCGGGTAAACAACAGGCTGAGTAACACAGTGGAGGAAGACGTGGGTGCTGTGGTGGCAGGCGTCCTTGGTGGCACTCGGCTGCAGTGAGGAAATAAACAGTCCAATAGATCTGGCTAGATAACGGTAGAGAAATAGTACTACATACTTTTCCTCAAACTACATTTTGACAGTTGTAGATGAAAGGTCGTCCAATCTGAACTCATTCGACCGATGAGATTCTTCTTTTTTTCCGGATGTCCCGCCCCGATCCCCCTCCCTAATTTTTGTGGGTCCGTTCACGTGCATCTGTGTTCTGTGCGGGGGTCCGTTCACGCGCTTCAACCCCCTTTCTCTCTCACCCCTCCCCGGTCTGGGGTCCGTGCGGATTACCTGGCCAGCGCGCGCGAGGTCGGATTTCAGGCCACTAGTGTCATGCTATTCCAGTCTTAAACTTTTTTTTTTTTTTCGTGTATTGTGTGATTTCGGATCTTTTATTAAAACTTTATTTATTTTTGAAACATAAACGGTATCCCTGTTATATGCAAAAAAAACATTTTTTCTGTTTCCCAGCGCGTTTCTCATAATTTGAAAATATATTTTATGAAAATATCCTCATACTCTCTTTTGTCACTTGAAAATTATATTTTAATTTATGTACCAGGATTCATTCATTCTGATTCTCTGCGGCCGCAGAACACATGTTGACGGCTGTTCGTGACAGTCTACCCCTCCACCCTCTAAAGCGATGATATGAGGCGTCAGGTGTATATGGTTGCTTGAGAACTTGTGGCAGGTGTATCGGAGGGGAAAAGAACTTCAGGGTATATAAGAAACGAGACAGTCTAACATTTTCCATGAAGAAATTCAGGGGTCAACATGATGGTTCATGGTAAGAAAACTGGTTGGAATTATAAGGTATTTCTTTTCTCTTAAAAGCATTGTTTAAATAAACACTTTATGTATTCTCAGCTTTAAAAGTTCAAATTGAAATTCACCAGGTGCCTGAGTATCAGGGTGAGCTTTTCTATTAATTTCTCTTTTATTTTAACCCTTCTGTACTTTTTTTTTAAAAATATGTTTTTCTCTTTAATAAAGTTACAGCGGAAGAACTAGAGGGTATTAGCCTCACTCAGACGGACCCAGGTACTGTATCTCTCTGTGTTTTTTGTTTTCGGCCTGTTATTTTTTTTTAACTACGCGTGACAGATTTTACACGCGGTATTAATCCTGATGAGTTTGCGAGAGGATCGGGAAGCGACAGTCTCGCCGATGATTTGGATTTGATTCTAACCGGGGCTTCGCCAGCGATCTCGCGAGATCGTCGCGTTCCGTCCTCTCCTCCGAGAAGTGGAGGTGGCGTAATAGAAATATCAACACCACCAAGGCCAGTGAGGCCGCAAGTCACAAGCGTGAC